TTCATAAGATGTGTTTTCCTGAATCTGCGCTGCCATCATAACCTTGCAAGTTCAAGGGTCCTATTCAAGCCAGTGCTAGTTTCCCAGGAAACGAGCAGAACCCCTGCGAACTGGCAATGATTCAGAGATGGGAACAGGAGGCATACAAAGCTGGTGACAGCCAAGTGCCCAGTGGTGCCTTTCAGCATCACAGCCGGATTCCTGACTAAACTAGTAGTAGCTTCCTTGGCTGTATCGCTTATTAAATGGCTTTATTGCACTAAGGGGGTGCCCTGTGACTACATAAAAAACAAAAGATAAAAATGTGCCTGGGAGAACGACATGAAAAAAACATGACGATTGCCTTAACTATATGTGTACTAGAACATCTTGCTCTGCACACCTACACAATTATAAAGCTTCTACATTTTTCAATGTAATACAAATTATTTACATGAGTTATTAACAAAATATGTGTGTGGAGAGATCTGCAAGCAATTTACTTACACGCTGTATGTTAAAAACGCACTTTGTGCTCCGTAACCAACACATAATACTCTTTGAGGTTTTGGTACCAGAAATCCACTTTTTTACAAATTTGCATGAAATGTATTGGCTCTGACAGCTGACTTTCTCAGCCAATTAATTCTGTCCAAAACAAACAGTATTGATATAAATAATACGAAAACAGGAAATACCTCTTTAGCAATACAATGATCAGCCACAACATTAAAACCACCTCATATCGTGTAGGTCCCTTCTGAATCGTCAACAGGGCCGTCTTTAATAATGATTGGGCCCGGGGCAAGCTTTCCCTGACCCTAACTCCCTGGCATGCAATCACAATCTCCACTTCCCAACGCAGTAACGGAACCATTTTCCCATGCTTGCAGAGTTGTATTTAGCACTGAGTTGTGTTTGTGTGTTTGAATGGAAGCATGTTTTTGTATGGAGTGTGTTTGTGTAAATGTTGGGGTGTGTTTGTAGGTGGTGTTGGTGTTTGAATGCAAGCATGCATCTGTGTATTTTTTTTTAATGCTGGGTGTGTTTATATATATTTTTGGTGTTTAACACAAAGATGTATTTGTATGTATTGTTGACGTTTCAATGCAGGACTGTGTTTGTATGTAGTGTTGAAGGTTGAATGCAGGGGTGTACTTGTGTGTAGTGTTGGCGATTTGAATGATGAGATGTACGTACATGTACACATACACTGCCACACACACACACTGTGATACACAAATACACACTGAAACACATGCAGATACATAGATATAAACACTGACACTCACACTAACACACAAGCAGATACAGACTGACACAGATACACACACTAACACATACAGACACACAGATACACAACCTGACACACATACGGAGACAAATATACAAACACTGACACATATGAATACTCAGACACACTGATACATATACTGACACACATGCAGATACACAGCTAAAAACACTGACTACATACAGATGCACACACACAGATATACAAACGCAGGTACACACACTGACAACGTACAGATACATAAATACATACAATGATAACTTACAGATACACACACTGACACACATACAGACACGCATATACAAAACCTGAGACACATGCAAAGACACACAGACCACATAGAGAAACAGATATACTAAATACAGATACACAGATATACATACTGACAGACATAATGACACACTGACATAGTGACACACACTGACAGACATACTGATACACACACAGACGCACACAGACACCCTGACAGACATACTCACACACACATACTTAGATACACACAGACATACTAAGACACACACAAATACTGACACACACATGCAACGTTTACATTTTTACACATTGACAGGCATACTGACACAGTGACAGACAAACTGACATGCACACTCACAGACAAACTGAAACGCACAGACAGACATACTGACACGCAAAGACAGACATACTGACACACACAGACAAACTGACATGCACAGACAGACAAACTGACACGCACAGACATACTGACATACACACATAAGCCCTGACAGACATACTGACACACACAGACATACTAAGACACACATACTCACACACACAGATTTACTGACACACACAGACACCCTGACACACAAATACCCTGACAGACAAACTCACACACATACACACATACTAAGACACACACAGAAACCCTGACATACATACTCACACACATACTAAGACACACACAGACATACTGACTCACACACATGCAAAGTTTACATTTATAAAGTCACCCTCCAGCCCTACCTTATGGGTTCCCTGGGGTCCAGTGGCAGGCTGAGGTCGTTGGGAGTGTGAGGCTCCTGCACTCCAGATCCCTCCTGACGGCCTCCTCCTCCTTCCTCCCGCGCGGCTTCATTATATCTGGGAGGAAGTGACTTACGGCAGTCACTTCCTCCCAGCCTGCTGCCGTAAAACAAGGGGGCCAAAGTGCCGACCGGGGCCTCTTAGTGTGGGGGCTCCCGGTGCAGCCGCAGCACCGGCGGGCCCAGGGGGTAGCGGACAGCGGGGCCCACGGGGTAGCTGCTTTGGGCCCCCCAGGAGCAAGTGGGCCCGGGGCAGCTGCCCCGTTTGCCCCGCTTTAAAGACGGCCGTGATAGTCAAGGCCTCTGAACGTGTCCTGTGGCATCTGGAACCAATACATTAGCAGCAGATCCTTTAAGTCCTGCAATTTGTGAGGAGGGTCCTCCATGGATCAGATTTTTTTGTATCTACACATCCCACAGATCTCAATCTGATTAGGATCTGAGGAATTCGGAGGCCAAGGCAACACCACGAACTCTTTGTCTTGTTCCTGAATACTTTTTGCAGTGAGGCAGGGTGCATTAATCCCTAGGTAGGTGGTACGTGTCAAAGTAACATCCACATGAATACCAACCGCACATTGACCTGGCTTTTTCCCATAGTGTAATCTCTTCCACAGGTAAACAACGCACATCCACCTGATCTAAAAGAAAAATGTGATTCATCCGACCATACAACCTTCTTCCATTGTTCCATGGTCCAGTTCTAACACTCACGTCCCCATCGAAGTCATTCCTGGCAGTGAACAGGGGTCTTTATGGGGCTTCTGATCGGACTGCAGGAACACAGCGCCATACACAGCAAACTGTGATGCACTGTGTGTTCTGACACCTTTCTATTATGGCCAGCATTACGTTTTTCAGCAATTTCAGCTACAGTACCTTCATGCAGTGGCGTACTAACGGGGGAGCTGAGGGGGCGGTCCGCCCCGGGTGCCACTCACTAGGGGGGTGCCTGGGGCACACTTTGACAGGGAAAGGACTGCTTGTGAGAGTCTCCATGTTCAGCATCAGTATGTCCTCTGTTCTCGTGATCGACGAGAGCTTTACCGCGCATTGCTATGGCAAAGCTCTCTCGGATCGCGAGAACAGATGACATGCTGCTGATAAATGTGAATCGAACGTGGAGACTCCTGGGCCCCTCTTCACTGGACCACCAGGGAATGTAGTGTGTCCCCTTCCCTGAATACAGGTAAGAGGAGGGGACGGGGGACACAAACAAACAATACACACACTGCATATACACACACACTGCATACACACTATACACACACACACACACACACTATACACACACAGCATACAATAAACACACACTTATACCTGTGTGTCTGTATGTGTGTCTGTGTTTGTATCTGTGCATCAGTGTATCTGTGTCAGTATATCTATATGTGTGTGTGTATCTGTGTCAGTGTGTTTCTGTAATTATGCGTGTTTGTCTTTATATGTGTGTTTGTAGCTGTGTGTCTCAATCTGTATGTGTGTTTGTCTGTATCTGTGTATGACCGTGTTTCTATGTATCTGCATGTGTATACCGATGTGTCTGTGTATCTGTATGTGCCAGTGTGCGCATCTGTGTGTCTATTTGAGTATATGTGTACATGTGCATACATGCATACAACTCAGCATTTGGCCAACACTCCACACAAATACACCCCTGCATCCAAATATCAACACTACATAAAAACACACCACCATAGCAAAAAACCACACTACACAAAAATGCACGCCTGCATTCAAATGCAAACACACCCCACATTCACTCACACATACTTCATACATTCAAACACACACACTGCTCAGTGCTAAATACATAAAAGAATACAAACACTAATGTGACAAACTGAACCTCATAACCCCTTCTTGGAAGGGCCTGCTAGCCAGCCTCTTGCCCACCGACTATGGGCTAGGACAGCGACTGTATAGACACAGATTTTATTCCCCCTGGTTTGGCACTTTCCATTCATGTGCATAGAACCGAACGCTAGTTCCCCGGTGGCCGTTCACATGGACCAAAACCCCAGAATAGACTTTTGGGCAGACTAGATGGGCCGAATGGTTCTTATCTGCCGTCACATTCTATGTTTATATGTTTCTGTTTTTAATTATTTTTTCCAATTTTGCTATTAAATTTTAAATTTCCTTTGGAATTAAATCCCATAGAGAAAATGGCAAAACGGGGCTCTGTGCCATTATGGAAGTGTTTCATTATATTTAGAAAGAACAAACCAGGAGAGTTTGACCACAGGGCAAAACCAGAAAGCACAATGTATAGCACACAGTAACCTACACGTTCCATTCTCTACAGTACTCATAACAGATATCAACATTTTTGCAACCACAGTGTAATCTAATTTTTAACATTTTTTTGTTTGCCAAAATTGTCTGCTATGTTTTGCTAACAACGGTCTATGTTAATATGTATTGGCTAACCCGTTGTAAATAGGATTAGTGTTACCATAGCAACTGAAAACATTGGGATTGAGCGGAGCCCTGCACAGTTTTTTGAAAAAGAGGACTGTCTGCAATTCCTTGAATTTACAAGTAAGTTCTTGTGTCTGCAATTAATTATTTCTGTTAGCTCAGTGCAGTACAGCTTCCTATTAATGGCACATGAGGTTTATAATATACAGCGGCTCTGTCACTTCTGGGGTCTTTGCATATTTTACGAAGACCCCCAATGGTGACTCTGCCGCTCACAGTGCGGTTGCCTGGAGGAACGCATGTTTTACTTAGTTGAATCTGTCCCTTTTGGCCGTCGCCATGATTATCCAGGGAATCCTCTTCAGCTCCTGACGTGTCATATTCAGGGAGCCCATTACAATGCTGTACAACAATTGAGGTCTATGGAGAATGGTGCGAGACTGTGTGAGCCTCCGTAAACAATGCCTTTTTCCTCACAAAAACAATGACAAAACGTGACGTTAGCTTTGCTTTTTGTCAGGTGTAGGAAAAATGTATAAGACAAAGTGGGTTATTTACTAGAGTGAAAATTCATATTGAATTAAACATAATTTCAAATTCAAAGTCGAAATAAACCAAACTGGAAAATTCTTTAATTTAAAGTTAGTTCAAGTTCAGATACCTTGCCCTTAAATTTGAAATTTACTTTGAATACCCTGAATTTTACTTTCACACTAAAAGCAGTCCCTACTTTGTCCTATGATATCTTTATTCCAGTACAGTATCTTTATAAAACATAATTTTCGGTGTTGGGGGGTGCTGGGTGGGGGGTGGGAGAAGGGGTGACAGAACCACTTGGACCTGAGCTGTACAAAATCCTAGATAAAGGATTTTAAATTGGAAATTAAACAGAGAATAGAAAATAGTATGCCAAAGTAGTTGGAATGCAAAAATAGCTGGGGGTTAGCTTTGGATTAATGTTTGCTACAACGGTTATCCACTAAAGTGTAAACTCCCAAAATTCTAAATAACTACTCAGTGAATTTCACATTGTAAACAAAAATTGCTGAAGTGAAAACATTTGGGGAGTTTTTCCAATTAGTCTATTTTGGTGTAAAATTTGAAATCACCTTGAAATGTACTATGCATTCTTAATAATTCACACTTTAATGAATAAAACTGAATAACACTGTGTTTTTCAAACAGGTCGGAGAAAGATTATCCTAACCAACTATTTAGGAGACATTAGATCGCATGGGAAAGATGATGTGACGGTTTCTCTGCCTCTGACCAGGCCTTCATGACTTGATGATCTCAGCCAATCCATTGCTTTCTCATAGGAAAGCATTGGGAGATTATTGCATATGCACGGCAACATGCCGCTCTGAGCCAATCCGCATCGCATCATAGATATGCATTGCTTTAATGCATCTCTAAGGGGAGCGTTTGTTGTTTTTATGCGCAGCACTGAGATAAGACTCAGCAAATTCTCTGAAAAGGTAGTGTCTACAGTGTTCAGCCTGCAGAAACGGGCTACAGACACCAGAAAAACTACATTAAGCAACGGTGGCTATAGTGTCACTTTAAATCTCGTGGATCCCCCAGTTATAGCTATCCCTTGTTCACTAATTGTCTTACAATTAAGTAATTATTAACAAAAACCCTTGTCTATAGGTCATGTCCACAATGAGAACAGAAAACCTTGTCTATAGTGTGACAAACGCTCCACGTACGTTTGTCATGAACTCCTGGAGAAGTGTGGAAGTTGGCCTTCAGCCCACCGACTATGGTCCAGGTCTGAGACACCATTTGGGAGTTACCCTGCCCAGCTGCCATTAACAGCTGTCCCTGGGTGCCCCTGGTTTGGCACTTTCCCTTCATTTGAATGGAACCAAACACTAGCTCCCTGGTGGCCATTCGCATAAACCAAACCCACGAACAGGGACTGACTGACAGTGGCAAAATTGGGACTCTGGCCCCCTGCGGACTGATAAATATGCTGGTGTAGATGTACCGTGCATTTGATTGTATGTGTATGTAAACTGAATGTATGTTTCTGTGTGTATCTTCACTGTGAGCCCTGGTGTATGTGTGTCTGTATGTGTGTCTGTGTGTAGTGTCAGAATATGTACATACAGAGTATATTTAAATACATGTTTTTTGGGTTTTTTTTGTTTTAAATAGGGTAGTATTTATATGTGTGTTTGTGTAGCATGGCAGTATGTCTAAGGGTGTGTGTGTGAATTGTGACAATGTGTTTGTATGAGGTATGCAATCCTCCACATTTTGCGTCTTGAATTACAGAGCAGGTGTTAAAAACTACAAGCCACCTTAACCCCTTAAGGACCAAACTTCTGGAATAAAAGGGAATAATGACATGCCACACGTCATGTATCCTTAAGGGGTTAAGAAACACTATAGTTTCAGGAAAACAAATGTTAAAAAGGTGAACTACTTACTTTTTCCAGCACTGCCTGGGTCTCCTCATGGCTGACCCCGTCCCCACTAAGCCTCCTTGGCTGAGATCATAAAATTAGATGATCTCAACCAATACAATGCTTTTCTATAGGAAAGCACTGGAAGGCTATTGCACATGCGCAGCAACACGCCATCCTGCACCAATTAGCATCTCCTCATAGAGATGCATTGAATCAATGCTTCTCTATGAGGAGCATTCACAATGGGCAGCACTGGCCCAGGAAGCACATCTAGTGGCCATCTGAGTGACTGCTACTAGATGTATTCCTGTGCAGTGTTCACATTAGAAAACTTGCAGGGACAGGCAGTAGACACCAGAACAACTACATTAAGCTGTAGTTGTTCGGGTGACTATAGTGTCCCTTTAACTGCTTGTGTTTTATTTTGTTAATTCAAGTAGTGGGGGCAGTAGATGTAGAGGTTGCAGAGGGTAATAATGGTTGCAGGGGGGTAGGGGCTGTAGCGGGTTCACGGGGTATAGGGGCTCTACAGGGCTGTAGTGGGTGCAGGAGGTGTAGGGGTTGTAGTGGGTGCAGGGGGTAGAGGATGTTGCGGGTGCAGGGGGTAGGGGCTGGGGTAGGGTCTTTAGTGAGTGCTAATGAGTAGAGGCTGTAGTGGGTGCAGGGAGTAGGTGCTTTAGTGGGTGCAGAGGGTATAGGGGCTCTAAGAGGGTGCCTGGGGGAAGGGGTTGTAGTGGGTGTCTGGCTGTAATAGGAGTTGTATTAAGAGCAGGGATATAAGGAGTGTAGGGGATTATAGGGGATTTGGTTGTTAAGGGGGTTGGAAAGATAAGAGCTGTGAAGGGACAGTAGTAGGGGAGATTAAACACTAATTGAATTGAAAAAAAAAAAGTTTTTACTAAATGTATTCCCCACTTCCTGAGTCTTACCTTTGGCCAGGAAAGGGGAATCCTTATCCTTGGAGTGGATGCTTAAGATGCTGCTGCCTGTAACACTGATCAGGGCAGCTGCGCAGGCATGATGTTACTTCCTGCAGAACCAGCCACACGGAGCAGCCTTGAGCAGTGTTACAGGCTGCCTGCATGCTCCCTGTTGATGTGTTCATCTGCTGGCAGAGGCTCTGCTCCTGGAGCCTCTGCTGATTTCCTTCATCCACTCTAAGACAGGCACACTGAAGGGCAACCTAGTGGGGTCTTTAGGAAGGCCCCTTAGCTGTCCCTCAGTGTGCCCTGCAAGGGGCGGGAGCAGATTTGTAGCAGTGGGAGCCTGCGGAAGGCTGTGCGGGCCCCCTACTGAGTGCAGGCTATCAGGGGAGCTTGTTCAACTCCCCAGCTCAGTCATTACTGCACTGCACCACGGGCGTGCCCCCTAGAGCCTCGGGCCATGACCAATTTGCCCGAGTGCTCTGTCCGCACCTGCCCACGAATAGTCCTCAGTGGTACTTAGCCGCGATCGCTATGGAACTAATTTCGTCATGAGGACTTTGTGGGTTCCCGGTCACCTCAACGGGACTTAGCCATGAATGTTATGGAACTGTTTTCGTCATGAGGTGACCATGCGGTTTCCGGACAACTTGGTCCAGGGTTTTGAACCACTTTGCAACTCGCCAGGAAAGTGCTTTTTGGAGTGAAAGTGCCTGAGACTAAGAGGAACAAACGCTCCCTGAGAGCCAGGTGGAGCACCCCATATTGCGGGCGCAAGAGCTTCCGAAAGTTGACCGGCAAAAGAACCAAACACGCTGGAACTACTGTGGGCATAGAACCACATGTGCGGCCAGTCAGATCTTTAACACAGTGGCGTTTTCCCTACACTGCATGGATCTGAGCGCTCTTTGAGAGAACTTGGGTGCTCAGATCAGGGCTTTTTCCCGGTTCCAGCTAGGAAGCAGTTCTTGGCTGAGGTACTCAGCTGGGGTACAGGGAGCTCTGCTACATACAGGTCATGTCCACAAATGAAAACACAAACCCTTGTCTACAGGTCATGTCCACAAATGAGAACATTGATCTAATTAAATCTTGTGAAATGCCATATAAAGTTATTGAAATAGAATTGGCCAAAGTCCTGGAGATTTTAGGGATGTCTCGCTATGCTAAAAAGTATTTTTAAGATGTATATAGTATTGGCTGATTACACTCATTAACATATTAATGTCATGTTGATACTTTGAGATACACTATAGAGGAGGTGATAAGTGCCTTAAAATAATAACTCTTAATATTGACTGATGGTTTTTATATCTCATTAGAAGTGTAATTTCTTTAACTATGATTGCTTATTCCAGTAGAATTTTCCTAGAAACAAAAATGTGCACAAGGCCATCTCAAAGTATCCTCTGTGTATCACACCACCTGCTATAATGTGTCATGGCTAGTTCCGTAGAACATACGGGTTCCATGTATTGCTAAATTATTGCAGTTTGGTTTTAATCTCACTTTATAACCTTTATTCAGGAGGGTCACAAGCAGATAGTGTTATATCTGAGGGTTATGTATTCATTTACTCAGTGTACGGTATACAATAAAACTTTTCATAGCGTCTGCCAATCCCAAACAAATGTTAGACACCAAAATTACAGTATTATGCAACCTCACACATAATTTTGTCAGTATTATGGAGATAGATGATGCAATTCACATCTAACTATATGTTATATCTGAAATATATGTTACATATTATTTAGAAGCATACACAATGTCATTTCGCATGCAGACATTTGGAATATTTGGTTGTGCAATCATATAATGCAACATGATAGTTTAGTATGAGGAAGCACTTTAGGTAGAGAATCACATTAAATCTTCAGTTACTTCCGTTAGAAGTTGATGCTTAAAGCAATAATCCAAGTACCATAATCACTACAGCATGAAGCCTCCACAATGAAAGTAGTCAAACCATTGTCTAATTATTTGACTTCTTACATGGGGTCTACCCGGAGCCAGTCCAAGCCTCCACTGCAGTAGGATCAGTTGGTGTTTGGAGTGTTCTTTTAAAGCAGGGGTGGGGAACCTTCGGCCCTCCAGATGTTGTGGACTACATCTCCCTTGATGCTTTGCTAGCAGTATGGCTGTAAAAGCATTATGGGAGAGGTAGTCCAAAACATCGCCCCCCCTACCCTCCTACTTTAAAGGGTCACTCTGAGCAGCATAACCCCAACAGATTGCTTAATGCAGGGGTGCCCAAAAGGTAGATCATCAGATGTTGTTTAACTACAATTCCCATGATGCTTTGCATGCCTTTTGAATTCATCTAGAGGTCTACCTTGTGGGCACCCCTAGCTTAATGTGTCCTGGTGTCAGCCCATGGATTAATGCCAACATTTTGGGCAGGGCTCTTTCCAGCTCCCCTGGCCTTATTTAGAAGCTGAAATTAATTCAATTTCAATCAAACTTAGCTGAGAGCACTAGGCAAACCAGTTCAAAGCACTCTCATGCATTTAATTCCATCCATGTTGGACACAATTGATAATGAGAATGTGGAAGTGTAAAGTGATACAGAGGATAAAGCAGTCTCCAGCCAATAAAAGAGCCCAGTTTATATCAAACAATCCCTGGCACCATATCTGTTTGATAGTCTGTATAACTATATTCTGCAGACTGTAATAGCCACCCAGGGTAATACATTAAACTACACATTAAGGCCTCTATTACTTTGGGGTAAGCTTTTCAAGTCTTTTCATATTTTAGGATCAATTTCTAAAATGCTTTTTTCAAAATATTAAAGTATCAAAAAATATATTATACATATAAAAAAAATATATCAAATTGTTAGGACATTAAAATCTTTTTCAACATATTAAACCATCTTAAAAGTTCACCCAAGGGGGTGGAGCCTAGCAGCGCACAGGAGCGGTCGTCATATCTTACAGCTCCTGAGTGCCTAACTCTATTACGACGAATACCGACGGCATCTCACCATCCACACCTTACCTGAGACCAGATCTGAAGTCAGGACGCCGTCCTGAGGAGGCCGATGCCTTTCTTTCTTGCACCAGGCAAGAAATACCAAGGCTGTAGGGCCTACCGCATGGACGGCCCGCCTCACACAACCGCAGGGGGACACCCACTGTGGGGAGAACTGGGCCTGACAGACCTGCTGCCCGCTTACCAGCCAGCCCGAAATATATGGCGCGAAAATCCCCAAAACCACCTGCGACTGCCTCAAGAACGCAGCGCAACATAGGCCAGATGCTGCTGACCCCGACATCGGCACCATCATGCGACTCACAGGAGAACTCACCCATGCGAGACCCGTCACCCTCACAGTCCGACGGCAGGAAATCGCCCCGGAGCCCTACTCAGACAACCCGAGGGGCTATTAGCTTACCGGGATCAATGGCTCCTGCAACGAAACAGGACATATAAGAAATGATCACCAGCCTCCAATTCAACCTCAAGAAAATGTGGGAAGCTGACTTAGCAGTACTCACCACTGAGGTACAAGCCGTCACAGCGCGAACCCAAGCCACTGAAGAAGACGTGCTTAATCTACAACAAGGCCTCAAGGCACTAGGCGACAGGGTACAACAGCTACAAACGGCCCAAAAAGACACCAGCAGACAAGTGAACATCCTGGATGACAGGGGCCGGAAAAAGAACATAAAGATAAGAGGGGTCCCAGAAACCATCCCCCTAGAAGAACTGCCGCACTTCATAAGACGGCAGGTGGCGACCCTTCTACCAGCGAAACAAGCTAATTACTTCACCTTTGACAGTGTATATAGAATAGCCAAGTCCCCTAGAACTCCAGCCACAGCACCACGAGACATCATCCTTAGTCCTAGCTTGTCGGCGACTGCTTGACATCTAACAGCGACATTAAACGGGAAGTCTCCCCATACTTTCGAGAACTGTCACATATCCTTTTTCCAGGACCTGAGCAGGGCCACCTTGTTATGGTGCAAGACTATGCAACCCCTCACAAGGACACTGCAAGAGGAGAGCCTACCCTACCGATTGGCAACCCCAAACACCCTGTGGGTCACAAAGGAAGGAAAGACGTATAAAGCTACAGCACCATTGAATGCACCTGCATTACTGGCTGCGCTGGGCCTACACACAAGTAGCACCCCGGCACAGGGACTGCCCTGCTCTCAGGCACGATCGGTCACTGACACACCCTCGCTTGAACCCAGAAGAAACAAGGGACCTACCACCTGAGAGATCACTAAGACCCATTTAGCTCCTGTAGCACTGTATATTACTTTTTCTTTTTCTTTATATGTTCTTGAGTTTTATGCGCTCCTTTTGTTCACCTTTTACTTGTTAAATGCCTCGCAATGTACGTTACCGGATGGTACACTCTACCCAAACACTCGCACGGAGAGGCGATAGAGCCTCACCTGCCCTAGACTCCTGAAAAACTTCTCAGGCACACAAAGCGCTCCATTGGGGGAACACCATCACTATCTCCCCCTCACACCTCAGGGTAAAGGGGCAGAAGCCACAGGGGCACGGAAGGGTTAACACCCGAACATAGATCCTCGGATCACTTGACACGCCTTTAACGGCAACCGATAAGTCTCACACCAGTATAGCCTCGACACACGACCTCCCAAAAAGCACCTTAGACAAGCGATCGCCACAGACGCCACCTAGGGCACCACTAAGGAGCAACACCTCCATGACTAACCCCGACTGAGTACAGCACGACACCCTACCTGCAGACACTACTCCGAGCTTCTAAACTCATTCCTACCATAACCCATTGTGTCCCCAGAATCGCTTACACAACCTACATCCACTACCACGCCTGATGTTGCATTGCTGTTTATACATGAGCCAAATCCTGCTTACGAAAATGTGGCTTTGAAAATGTGTTTTGTACCATGCAAATTGCACCAAAAATAAAGAATTTAAAAAAAAAAAGTTCATCCAATAATACTGGATTATTTGAAAAACGTATCCAAAAATATTAGATCTAGACCTAAATATGTTCAATTATTTTTACTATCAACTTTTATAGACCTAAATCTAAATGCAAAAACAGAGGCAAAAGTAGCTGATTTTGGCACAGTCACATTTTGGCTTTTTTTGTATCAGTTTTCCATTTGGATTTAAAGTGACATTATAGTCACCAGAACCACTACGGCTTAATGTAGTGGTTCTGGTGTCTATAGCCTGTTCCTGCAGGGTGAACACTGTAGACGCTGCCTTTTCAGAGAAAATGCAGTTTTTACATTGCTGACTAATTACACCTCTATTGGCAGTCACTGAGACGGCCACTAGAGGTGCGTCCTATTTTAGTCCCTCCACTCTCTGTATGAAAACACTGAACGCTCCCCATAGGGATGCATTCATTTAATCCATCTCTATGAGGAGATGCTGATTGGCTCAGAGCGGTGTTTTGCCGTGCACATGCAATAGCCTCCCAATGTTTTCCTATGGGAAAGCAATGGATTGAATGAGATCATCAAGAATGATGATCTCAGCCATGGAGGCGTGGCAAAAAAAGTAAGTTCAAACATCTTTCCTATGGGATGTAAGGGAAGTCAGAGACCTTAATAGTTAGTTTGACACTAGAGTGTCAGGAATAGATTTTTATATTCCTGACACTCGAGTGTTAATTAATTATGTCTGTTAAATGTGTGTCCAAATGCTTTAACTTCCTCCCTGTGCTCAAACTAGCCAGCTGACCCGAATATGCATGTCGTAGCAACAATGGTGCCTGCCACATAGGGTACCCCTTTGGATAAAGAGACTCTGAAGCTTTCTTAAAGGGCCACCATAATTGCTTGCATACATGGCCTACTGGAGTGGCTTCTACAGGGGAACAATGTATCAATTCTGATTCTATGCTCAAAACAGAAGAGGGACTCAAATCTAACAGGGATATAAGGATTTAAGTATCTTTGTATTTTAACAGGCTATATTTCCAAAGGTTGACTATGTATATACTTGATTGTATATTTTTGTATTTTTGTATGTTTTTACGTCGGTATTTAAGTTTCGTTGTATATTATGGATTTACCATTGTGCAACCTATCAACATCCAACCAATGCAACAGTAAAGCTGGAAACCAGCTAGACAAAATGTCTAGTCACATAACGATGTCAAACATGTTATATCATAAGACAAATGTATATACCACGGTTGCAAAATGCTTCTGAAAAAGTGAACATAAACAAAGAATGTTTTAAAAAAAACAGGCTATATTTCTGTGTAATGCCCAGTTAACGTTTGTTACAACCTTAGCCCAAAATACAATCACCATCATCGATTTGGAATATATAAAATGTTCTTATTTTCCGTTATAGTTAACATTAATACTTACCCCTGCATTAACACCAAGGCTCTATAAGGCAAAATAATATTAAGTAAATTCTGGTCTCTGAATCCAAAAAAGTCAGGTGTTTCTTGTAGATTTCACCTGGTGTTATCTCTTCTCCTAACAGGGAAGAACATCAAATTATAAAATAAATCCAGACAAATACACAAACAATAGCAGTTAAAAAAAACAAATCATATAAAAATGGAGTGGAAGGATGATTACTTCCAAATATCTGGTGAAATCCAAAAGCACCAACTGGCGGCAGAAAAACTAATTTTGATTAACACAAAAATTCAAACCTCAAGAAAAACCATTATCCATTAATTCTAAGACAGATATAGTAAAATATGCTGTGGTTTAACCCTGTGGGATTTTAATACGTGTGAATACATTGTAACAAAAGAAGAATATATAAGGCAGGTGTATAAATATTTTTGCAAGCACAGCACTTCTAAAAAGGTATTCAATCCTATCTCCCGCCCTGACTAGACAGGAAGACAGCTTTGCAGTTGGGAAACTTGATATCACTCCACTGTTTTACGTGAAAGCAGGATAAAGCATGACAAGACATGTCTCAGTCTATTCTAACTTAAAGGGACATGCATCACTTTGAGACAACTGTCTCATTCAAAAGCTTTAACTTTCAATGAGACACCTGCCTCGCTCTGCAAGCTGAAAAATAAGCAGTTAAAAATATCTTTTTATATTTACCTACTTCCTATGCATTCCATACACACTTTGGGTGGGGGCACTGATCTAGCCAATCACTGTCCTATCCCTAGGAATGCTGGAAAAGTTCACTGGGCATGCCTGACGGGAAGATCTCTTCACTTTGCAACATCCTGACAGGGGGAGAAGAGAAGAAAGTCTGATAAGTATGATCATGAGCAGGCTCCGATGCCTGGTTTCTATCTCCTGCACAATGATGCCCTGTTTCTGTCATTAGTAGACTGGTCTGAAACTGAGATTGGTGGGTATGAGGGAAGGATGGGGTAGGCTGAAGAAACTCCCCTAACTGGGAGGCGTGCCCAGGATTGCATTTTGACCAAGTTTAGAATAAGTTTATAAATTTTTATTACATACTTTTCAAAGTTTTATTTTTGTTTAATTTTTTTCCATCCACTTACTGGAGACTTCCCATCAGAGTCAGTGCACCCTTATAGATGGAAGACCAAATTATATAAGTTGTGACATGTTGCCTATGCAGTCAAACAGACACATATATAGACAGCCACATACAAACACACACAGCTACATATACACACATACACACACATATATAGACAGCCACATACAAACACACACAGCTACATATACACACATACACACACATATATAGACCGCCACATACAAACACACACAGCTACATATACACACATACACACACATATTTAGACAGCCACATACAAATACAAACACATTATATGTGCAGTTAAACATGCACATGCATACAAAACACTATATGATCACAGCTCATACACATACAGTCATATACAAATTATATTTTATTCTCCTGATTTTATTTTGGTTTGTGAGGGGACACATACTCAAGTAACTAAAAATGTAAAAAACGAACATAGATTCGCATGATTCCATGCCTTAGTGAACTGGTCTATGTTCAGGGGAATTCCTCTAGATGTAGACCTGCTTTCTAGCACGTACTTGCTAGTGTTTTTCACTAGTGGGTTTCTTTTTTTGGGGGGGGGGGTTATAAAAGACCTGGTCTTGTTTTTAGGGAAAGGCGGTACCTATGCAACCAGGTTGATCCCTTAATAAAATATGTGTTTGTTGAAGAGTTGTGAGGTATATGCTCTGCTAACATACTGTAGAGCGGAGTTGCAGTCTGCAATATATTTATTTTTATATATATATTTTTTTTTACAATTCTATTATGATTCTATTTATTTTATATACAACATCCCTGACAAATCTTTAAACAATATCAAGTATGGTAAATTAAGTCTGCCCTGCTGCTATTCATATGATGTAGCCTAGTCTACACTAAAGCAGGTGCCATGTAAGCTGGAGGTTTGGAAGTTATGTAAGTTCAATTGGAGAGACAGAACACATGAATGGGTTAAACCTTTGGAATGCATTGAAGAGGCAGCTGATAGAATTCCAGCCTATCCAAGGCTCATTGTATTGCATGTTTGTGATCAGTTCAGTCTTGTCCATAAACTATGCATGAAAATCTAATCCTACCTGGATTACACCTAATGCTGGCAAGTGAGCATGACGAAGCATGCACATAACGACTTGAGCATTTACAGAGTGTATTCACTGGGGAAACTGTATGTTAATACCTGTTCAGAAAATACTCTAGAAAAATTGGAAGAAAAAAAAACCTATAAATTAAATCTCATGTTGGATTGTCAGTTTGTGTAGCCTAGTTATAAAGGGTCAATGTACGATCCTCACATTGGATTGTTGGTCTGTGTAGCCTAGGGTTAGAGTAAGGTGTATAAAGTAGATTGTTGGTGCACGTAATCAAAATATGTGCCATATATCCCGGTTTAATTATACCATATCATCAAAAGATCCCGATATATATTTGTAAAGCCCATGTGTGCAATGTTTCTTCGCTGCTGGGAGGTGTACAGTAAAGAAGGTTAAGCAAATAAAGACTCCTGTCTTGCCATAAAATTACAGTCACATCAGTTACCTCACAGGATCTACACCAAACCTGTTTTTGTTTCTCTTTGGCATGCATGAAGAAACCGTGGTGACATCGTGTTGACGCAACTCCAGACAAGTTGACGCAACTCCAGACAAGTAAGGCTGCCAAAAGATGTGGGGGGGCAGGGAGGGTAGTGGGCCCTAGAACACTGCATAAGAATGCTGCCTCAGGGTAAGTGAACGCATAAGGTGACACAAGGGAACGGTTTAAATTAGCTTTCACTAGTTAGTATCACCTTATGTTGCCTTCAAGAGTGGAGAGCTCCCAGAATGTCAGGTACAGAGCAGTAACAATATATCCCTGCCTGGCTTGGAGTACAGACATTCACTATCAACAATACGCTTGCACAGGGTTACTTTTGTTTTGAATTACATTGCAATACAAAACAAACATGAATAAATAAGGACTTTCTTACTATCTTCTCAGACTCTGGTCTTGGTGCGCAAGAATTGGAGAAAGAAAATTGCCCACCGCTGCTCAAAGTGCAGGCAGAAGAATTATAAATGATGTATCGATATCCTCACAAGTGTCTGCAAAGATCATTTTAACCAGTACCAGTGCTCCTAAATAATATCAAGGTGGGAATAGTAGTTTTGAAAGGGCACGCATTAGGTTATACATGCACGGTATTGAATTGCACATGAAATGTTCATTGAAGTACAAGTCCCTAGTTTTAATCAGGCGACTGCATATACTGAATGTGGGCATTACATAATCAGGAAAACTGCAGATGAAATTATAGAACTCTATAATAATATCTAATAACAGACATTTTGACACTGAACGAAGGCCATCACGTGCATTCTTCACACATGTATTGGCCAGAGCTGTATAGATGAATACGAAGAATGTAATCTGCATCGAGGTCTGGTTCGAACCGATTATGTATTTATTTCTGCGAATGTTGTTTTTCTTGCCTGTCGCTTCCTCTTCTTCCTTCCCCTCCTGAACACCATCCTGCACACCATCCTTCCCCCCCCTCATCCCCTGACTACCACCCTCTGCCAGATATCCTGTGGGGTGTTCACTAATTTCAAGTGACCTTTGTCCCCGTGCCCCCCTGCTGATGGAAGTTTCTTGATTTATACTGACGACAAGCTGTTGTTAGCTCATAGTCTCAGTTATGCCTATTAGGAAATGCAGTATACCAGGTGCACAGACAGAGAATTGCAGGGACAAGAGAGTGGGTCAAAGAATGTATTTGTAGTATTTCAGGTATTCAAGATACACCATGCCATTTGCTCAGGGATCTTAACCTTCCTAGTCTAGACTAATGCTCATAGATAGGAACCTACACTCCGATAGCCTATAGATCTTCCTTTTGTTCCATGTAATAAAATTGGAAGAGTTTAGAACAGGTCAAAGAGTGGTCAATCTCTTTATAAAGAGTTTATGAAAAGGAGGTATTATACCTTAAATTACTCATTTGTAACTGACATTAAAAGATATGTTATAGTTCGTACATTTGGTCCCTTCCACCTCAACTGCAATCAAAGGTTTTTTTGTTCTTGAGCTTCTCTAGAACCTTATCCTCGACCCGTTTTGACAGCATCTTGGTCTTCAATGATGCTGGTTGTTTAGATATGACCTGGGGCTTCCAGAAACAGGTGTATTTATCGAGAGATTACTTTCACTTATGTAGACTACAATCAATTAATGATGACCTCTAAAGGACATTGTTTGAACAATAACTTTTTGTGGGCGTATTCCTAGGAATGGAAGTCAGAACATCATCAAATGTCTAGTTTTACATTTGCTATGTACTGTTTCATTAACTTTGTGTCGCAATGAAAACTAGTTGCACCTTCAAATCGTTAGGTATGATTAGTATAACTAATGGTTAAAATCCTTTTCATGAGACTCTTCACCACGATGTTCCTAAAAAACTAATACGTTACACAACAGTCCAAATTATAG